TTTTAGTTTTTCATATTACCCCAACATTTCGCTTTCCGATACTGAAAACCGCACCTTTTTAGCTGCTTCTTAGAAAAAGTTATCAAAGAAATGGCCGTGCTTCTTCTTTTTTGAAATGGATAGTAGTAATCGGTATGTGTGTATAGAGAATGTCGTAATAGTCCAAGTGGTAGTACTTCTCTTCATGGAATGAAAGAGGAAGGAAGAAAAACAAATGGAATGATAGGGTAAATAATAAACCGCCTCTTCCATAAAAAAGCGTGACCAGAATACAATGGTGAATCAAATAAATATTTCCAGTTCAAAAGAAAAAGTATGGAACTATAATGTTGTTAAAATTATCTTTTTGTATAGAGTTTTTTACTCTAATCGATTGGAACGTTTTGTTTGTAGAATTTTTTTTAGAAAGTTAGTTGGATTATGACCTCGATTAATTAGACGACAGAATAGATTATAAAATTCAGACCATTTTGAAACGTTAGACGAACAAATACGAATGATTCGGTTTGACAAAAAGTTCAATTTTCAAATTCATTTATTTAATAATGTAACTTAAACTTATCGTGATGTTTCGACTCTTCATTGAGTCATTTTCAAAAGTAAAAAAGAGACTATTTGGAATGAAAACTAGACAAAACAGAAGGGATGAAGGTGCTCACTCTCTCTTTCTATATATATATATATATACTGAGATTTTAATATTGATCACAACAGAACAGAACGAACAGCATAAGAAGAGAAATTGTTTTGAAATTTATATTCAACAGCACCATACATCTCTTTCTCTCTTTCTTTCTCAGCACATAAAAATGATTATAGTTTCTTCTACAGACAGAGATTAGGCTTAGTTTGTATATAGAACGATGCAAAACTGAAGGGACTACAGGATGATGTATAACGTATTCTTTCAAATCGTAAGTTAGTTGGACTTATGGACAAGATACACAACGGATGCAGTAATTTTGACCTTTTGTTGAATGGAGAATGAAATACAGTGTTCTACACAAAATCGGTTTCTTCTTTCAGCTTTTCTCCTAGAGGATAATAGCTAAGTAACTTACAAGAAACGTGAGGAAAGATCTGAATAGCTTTTCTGTGCACGATGAGGCTCTTACAAAAAGTGTATCACTCGAATTCAGAGAGTAAGGGGGGTTTGCGTGAGGGGGTAAAATTCTATAATAATCTGTTATAGCTCATTTTATAGTCCATGAAATTCACTATTGAACGATATATAAAGTGGAGTGGTTAACGAGAAAATAAATGGATATGATCAACATGAAGGATGTTGACCTACAGATGCTGAGCCGTTCTTCACCGGTTCTTTCATAAGCACCATATTGTGAAATAACTTTTTTTACTAATTGTTTAATTTCTTTCTTTTCCTTAGTAGTTTTATTCTTGTTTAACTAAACGTTTCGATTAATTAAAATCTTCATCAGTAGTTCAATTTCATAAATAATAAACAGTAAGAAAACCCGAGGGATGGATATCAAATAACTAAAAATTATTTTCACATCTTCCATGACTCTATACATTTATTTTATGTCTTTTTTTCTAGAGCATTCTACATGGAAAGAGTAGAAAAACGAGAGAGAAGAAAAACAACATGTGCATAGAATGAAAATTTTATTTTAATAGATTCCACCATCGACAATCAATTAAATACCCATGCACTACTATCTGATGCTAATTTCTTACTGTTTTTATCACTACCAGCATGTTGATATTATCTGATGTTGATGCCACCCCACCTTCTCACAATTTCCAACTCGACGCCGATAGACTCAAACTGAATTTTGACCTATTATATTCATATGTTAAAAGCATTTGTTTTGAAAAGGAAACACTAAACTCAGTTCTGTCTCTTGAACAGTAGTTTGATAAACGGATGGATACGTTTTGATACGTACGCCCAAAATAATAAATAACGTGAATCGTATCGATTCACTAGGTCCATTGCCTGTAAGTCCACTGAGTGTATTCTCGGAATTATTATTCATTGTGTTGTAACTCGACCTTGCTACTACAGAATTGAGGCATATATGTTTCGCGATGAGAACGTGCATATTTTCCATCTTAGTTTACAGAACCACTTGCTTTAGCTTTTCGCCGGTGAGAAACATTTATCAGAATTGCTATAGTTCATCGAGACTCTGTAATTTGATTTACTTTTACCTGTCGCACAGATGTTCGAAATGGACGTAATATTACCAGATCTATCAGTCTTCTTACCCTTGATAAAGAAACCTAAGTGGGGGCAAAGTTTGGCCTTCTTAGTCAGAACAACGCTTACACCTCCCTTCGGTCGGTGTTCGCTAGAGACTAAATACCATGTGTTATGATTATTTCTGTGACATGATGTGTCAACTTCGTAAAGTACCTTCAATCTAAACTGGGTTTCTCGAGAGTACCCAAAGAACCCCAGGGATCAAAAAAGTTTCTAAATTACAGAAAATGCTCACGCGTCCCTTCGGTCCGCGCTCGCAGCCAGGATAGGTGTTACACTTCCCTGATTCTACATAAAGCTTGAACGCAAGCACCTCTCTGCACAATGTCAATGACACTCATTAGTGATTCTGTATATGTGCGTCCGTCACACTGTCACATGACTAAATGTATGTACGTGCGTCACACTGCCACATGACAATATGTATGTACGTCCGTCACACTGGCTGGTTACCATATGTATGTACGTCCGTCACACTGCCACATGACTAAATGTATGTACGTGCGTCACACTGCCACATGACAATATGTATGTACGTCCGTCACACTGGCTGGTTACCATATGTATATACGTCCGTCACACTGGCTGGTTACCATATGTATGTACGCCCGTCACACTGCCACATGACAATATGTATGTACGTCCGTCACACTGCCACATGACAATATGTATGTACGTCCGTCACACTGCCACATGACTATATGTATGTACGTCCGTCACCGTGTGTGCTTACGTCTGTCACACCCGTGTACGGACACACAAACACTTTTGCTTTTTCGTATACCCAATTTTTTTTGTATGACCATAGACTTACAGTCAATGGAATAAACAGAATTTTTAAACCCAGAAAATCTGAACTTAAGCACAAAATTTTTCCAGTTAGATGGTGAGATGGTCGGTTTACTTCTGATTAACATGACACGTCTCTCATCCTTCTGCGACCTTTTTGAACGTTAGAAAACAGAAAATATCAATGAGACCTCATTTCTCCAAGAAAAGGTGAATTTTCAATTTCATGGGCTCTTTCAGGGTCTTTGCTGTAATTCCTTGAAAAAAAGCCACAAAAGTCTCGAAACAATCTCATTTTATGAAGAATTGAAGGGACTATCCGGTCGTGTACCTGAGAAAAGTCTGTGACCAGTTCTAGAGTTTCTGGGTTTCTGGGAATCTTTTTTCCAGAGATCAATTAACGTATAAGTTGTGTCAAAAGAAAGGACAAGGTTAGAATCAGGATCGAATTTTGAAGAAAACTAGTCTAATATCGAGTTGCTAGATTAAAGTTGATGTAAATCTGGGACAGGCTGCGTGGAAGCACCCATGAGCAACATGATTTCACACCTTCTTTTGCAGGAATTACAGTAACAACCCTGAAAGATCCCACGAAATTGAAAATTAGGAAACTTTTTTATGACAGAGAACATTTAGATACAGCTATAACACTAAATAATTTTGGTAATGCTTATTATAAAAAACGAGATTATGCTGAATCGTTAACGTATCATAAAAAATCACTTAAAATTCGACAAAAACAATCATCCAATGATCATACTGATATTGCTGCAAGTTTCAATAATATTGGGCTCGTCTATTAAAAAATTAATCGATTTGATCGTGCTCGTGATTATTATCAAAAATCATTAGAAATGAGAAAAAGGTTGCTTCTATCAGAGCATAATGATATTGTTCAAAGTTTAATAAATATTGCAGATGTGCTTCTTGATCAAGATGAATTGAATACCGCATTGGAATTTTATTCTCAAGTATTAACAATTCAGAAAAGAGACTTTGATCCAAGAGGCCATGATGATCTTGTCGCTCGTCTTAATGGAAGTAACCGGCTTCAAAAAGGTCATCGTCTTGTTCGATCTGAGTACACCGTACAGATGCAAAGTGCTGTTTGCTCTAAATACACTATGTAGGATGACGATTTTATTTGGTCTGAATATGCTGCACAACGCGCGATGTCTTATGACGACTGGACAAGATCACCTACTCCAGTTAATGATGTTTCCCCTGTAGATGAAATTACTGAAGCTCCTCAAGATGACACTGATTATCAAGGTGCTTTTAATTTATTGGAACAAAAAGTGAATGAATATCGGGAAGAGTTTGGTGAAAACCATCCAAATGTTCAAACTATACTGTCGACTGTGACAGATATGGTAAAAGATTGCTGTCGTCGTCCTGTCAACTATCAAGATCTTCGATTTTGTAAAAAAGTCTTGTTCATATTGGAAAATTCTAATCCACCACTAACTGATACAGAGGACATATCAATCTTACGTTTAGATCGTATTGGAAGCACTCATCAACAAAGTGATGAATTTGAATTAGCATTGGTACACTTTGCTAGAAAATTGAAAATTCATCAATAAAAACAGGAAATCGCCACTCAAACTGCATTTACACTACGTAACATTGTTGTCGTACATATGAATCTTAGAAATTATAATTTGGCACTGACAGCTTTCAATGATGCATTAAAATTATTTCAATTAGAGTCTACTGATCTGAATAATCGAGAAATTAAATTGACTTTTAGACGAATCGAGGAGGCTAAAGAAGCACTTGAGTCGACTACGAAATCGTAACACTAGTCTTAATAGAAAACCGATTGAAACTGTGCCTCTAGAAATATGATGCGTAACTACTCTAACTATCTAGAGTGTGAGGATGAGTTTAGCGTACATTTGTTGCGACACACGGCGGATGATAAGATCGCGCCACAGTCACAAACAAACAAACGACATACCAGACTTCGACACATTGTAGTGTGCACGAAAGTCACACCACAAAAGATGATCAGAGCAAGGATCGAACCACGCGTCTCCCGATTATCGGGTGGGCGTCTAAGCCAATTAGACTACCCGATTACTTCCACCACAATGTATAGTGCCGTATCTATTTGCCTACTTGTGCTACAATCCTGACATATCATCATCATTTCTTCTGCGCTATTACGTATGTCTCAATTGTCTAATCTGAATCTTATCTTGAAAATTATCTCTTCTGTCCGATTAGTCTAATGGCATCTCTAACGGCATCGTATTATTTGAAGATTCAATATCTTTTTCTTTAAATTGAATTCTCAATTAATTATTATTCTCTTTCTTATTCCATGTTCTCTAGCTCGCGTTTTTCTTCTCTCAACTAGAAATTATTTTCATGTCCTCTATGACTCTATACATTTATTTTATGTCTTTTTTTCTAGAGCAATCTACATGGAAAGAGAAAGAAGAAAAACAACATGTGCATAGAATGAAAATTTTATTTTAATAGATTCCACCATCGACAATCAATTAAATACCCATGCACTACTATCTGATGCTAATTTCTTACTGTATTTATATATATCAGCCTGTTGATGTTATCTTCAAGAGTACCATACATTTCTACACGTATACGTAATCTATATCTCTCATATCACCATCATCATGTTACTTACCTTAATTGTTGTTTGGAGTATTGCTGTGGCATATATCGATGGTGGTAATAATGCATATTATGTATCAGGATTATCAAAGCGTAGTTGTTTAAATGAATGCTACAAACATGTTGGCGTCTATTATATAAAGTTTATTAATTCAACCACTTATGAAATAGTAACATTTCACCCTGATGGTACATTCAGCGGAGTTACTTCTGACAAAATTGGCATCAGTCAATATTCAACAAATCCGGACGATACGCCCTACTCAAATGAATATGGGACTTGGAAATGTAATGGGGAAAATGGTATTGAGGCTACATCATTCGACTTTTCATTTCCAACATTGGCTCAACCATGCTTTCGAGCGGTGGACGAAAATCCCTATTCATTTACATTTGATCATGATCAAGTGGAAGGTAAATCGACATACACTAGTTACAAACTAGAGTCTCTACGTCAAAATCAATCACCCGTAGAGATCATCATGATTGAAGGCAGTTTTCAAGGCTACAAAGTATTCGATTTATGTTAGCAAAAACATTACACGACGTTATAGTAGAGATATCCATCATCAACCTGCAAGTTCTTACTTGCGATGACCGGGTTCTATTTTTAATTAAATAAAAATATAGTTAAATAAAAAATTAAAATAAAATGAGAGAGATCAATTAACGTATAAGTTGTGTCAAAAGAAAGGACATGGTTAGGATCAGAATCGAATTTTGAAGAAAACTAGTCTAATATAAAATTTTAACAACATGTCATTGAGTCCTCCATTTTGATTCTCTTATTCACGATTCATATTTCAAAAATATAAGCGCATAATCACATGTTCTTTCATTGAAAAAAGAAAGATTAATTGATTAATCCTTTAATTTGCCCTTTCCTTCGTTAAAAAGCGTACAAAATAGTTCTTTCCTTTAGTTCAAAAGCAGAATGAAATTAAGAAATGGAGAGATATGTTCACGAACATATTCCTTTCTTATAAACATGTCATTAGTATCTTGTCCCATCTTCAAGAAATGTTCCTGCTGTATGTGTTTTGTTCTGGTAGAAAATTGGCGGAACACAACTAATTAGTTCTTATTCATTCACCTGTATTAAAGCATCATTTTACTCCCCTCAGTAAATCGTTATAACCTATTTTTTCACCTATTTTTGATAACCAGAGTTATCGCGAAATTAAGGCTCAAAAAGTAGGTATCCGTGCGGCCCAGATTTCTCCGCCATTTTACATGCTAGAGAGCTCGGGTGGATCTTAAAATGTAGGCAAGACTTGTCGCTACATCCTAGCAAGGACGGACTTTTTAAATATTTTTCTATTAATTTTTTCCGAAAGTCCTTTTTAAAAAAGTTGAAAAAAGGATGACTTACTCTTTATAAACTTTTTATTTTTCTCAAAAATAAAACTGAAAATAAAAATCGGGTCTTGCTACGTTGTAGTGACAAGTCGTAGCTTCGGTTTAAGACCTTTCCGAGCTTTCTAGCATGTAAAATAGCAGAGAAATCTGGGCCACATGAACAGGTGAAAATAGAAAAATCTATTTTGAGAAAAACGCCAAACAAATTTTGACTTAAAAAATCAATTTTTTTTTCTTCCTAAAGCGGTATAGGAAAAAACTGAGAGTAGTTCGTCAGAGGTTATCGACTATGATAAATCGAATGAACATATGCAGAGACATGTACAGCACTTTTTTTTTCTCCTGCAGGCGTATTTTATACTTATGTGTTCTGTTCACATTCTTTGCTTTTCGTATTTTTGTTTACATTCTTTGATTCTTTTTTATCTATTCATTCAAAGTAGAAACTGAACATAATAAGAAAGCTTCAAAACTAGCTATGAGAGGTCCCTTTTGCTTCCTTCTTTTAGTTCGTTCCTACTTCACAAGAAAAAAGAATATGCTAATCACCAGGTTCCATTAAAATCGAATCGTAGAAAAGAAATACAACGGAAAAGTTCAGTTAAGGCAGTACATATGGCGCATATTTGCCGACACATGCTGGCTATATACTCTGTTATCGAAAACCTACGGAGAAGCTAAAATAACTCCAATAGCTGAAATTTAAAAAAAATCGTTTTTTTCTAAATTCGAGGATTTCAGAAAAACCTCTGTAAAACCAACAAAAACAATTTGTAAATCTAAGAAAATTCGATTATATAAAAACATGAATAATTAATTCAGTTAGCAATTAATGAATCATTTAAAGCGATTTATTTCCCTGATAAATTGAGAATTTGCGTTATTTGAGAATTAATACCCAATTATGGGTCTATTAATACACATATTATGGTGAGTTCATGACGGAAATGAATTACAAAATAATTCAAAATTTATACATATGTGATAGATACATCTGTATCTGTCTCTGTATCTATATTATATAATATAGAATGTATAATTTATAGTATAAAATATATAATTTTATTATATAGATATATTCTACATATGTTATATATGTAGTAAAACTATGAGGTACTATAGGGTACTATAATTGACTAGAAGGTACTATAATTGACTATAAGGTACTATGTAATAGCACGTTCCAAAGAACTAAGAGTCAAGCAAACAGATAAGAGATAAGAAAGAACTCTCTTCACTCACAGACAGCACACAAATGAGGGTGATGAGATTTTTTCTTGTCTTTCGGATGTCTCGATTGACATCGTTTTGTGCTGCCGGTTGACTTGATACTGAACGCGTGTAAAATGAGGTATCTGCTTGTGTATAGATACCGTAGTCGGACATGGATGGGGAAAGAAAAAGAAAGAAACAAAAGTTCGTTCGAAGAAGAAAAAAAGAAAGAAACAGAGAGCAAAATGAGAGAGCGCACAATCTGTCTTATACTTTTCTGTCTTTTTTTCGGGATTCCACGTTTAGATCACGCTTGTCTTCGACAAGCAGCTGAAAATTCGTTGGTAGAGTTATCGGTTATTGTTTTTGTCATTGAGTATGTTGTGTGTGTCCATCAGAATGAAACAATTTTGTTTCTGTCTGCAGTTTAACCAGTGCTACAAAGAACTTCGACAAAAGAACCTTCAATTTTAAAAAACTGCAAATTTTTTGGGCTATGTGACTGGAAAACGGCTCGCCTATATATGGCAAGGACGTTTTTCTACGTGGATGTCTGTACTACTCAATTTTCTTATCTAATGTCATTTTTACGAATGAAAACGTGTTGGAAAGCTTAGGAATATGCGTCAACAACTCCACATGTCAAACAAATGACTTCGAGAAATCGTGCTGTATGTTACTATTAATAACTTGCAGAATAGATATAGACGAGAGAGACAGGGGAAAGATTCTCTCTTTTTTTGTTCTTGCAATTAAACCTTCTCCAACCGTATTTTTTGATGCTGATTCCAATGGTGAAAACCGCAGGTCTCTAGCTGACTTACAAGAAAAGTTATGGGCAAAACATTTTTACGGGGAAAAGCGCGTTTTTAGCCATTTCCCAGCAAAACCGAACCCTCTTGCAGAGCTTGCTGTGACTAAAGGACGTGTCGTAGGATCTTCATTTTTGCGCCAAAGGAAAGACCACGCCGAGCTCTACTTAGGCATATGAAATTCAGTCGTGTAGAAGAGCCTTACGAGAGACCAGGATTTTCCGCAAAAACAGGTTTTCCAGAAATCATGCAGGATCTTTGGAAGTCTCAAAAACTAGTCTGAGACAGCCAGTCGATTGCCAATTGAATTTTGTGCAAAATGAGACGTCAAGCAACGTTTTAGAGCATTCCAGTCAAATTTTAGAACAAAAATAAGCAGTGAGGTTAAAGTCGCCTAGCGATTATTGAACTCTACTTGAAATATTTGGGGTTTTTAGCCTCGCTGCGTATTTCTGCTCTAAAATTTGACTGGGATGCTCTAAAAAGTTGCTTGACGTCTCATTTTGCACAAAATTCAATGGGCAATCGACTGGCTGTCTCAGACTAGTTTTTGAGACTTCCAAAGATCCTGCATGATTTCTGGAAAACCTGTTTTTGCGGAAAATCCTGGTCTCTCGTAAGGCTCTTCTACACGGCTGAATTTCATATGCCTAAGTAGAGCTCGGCGTGGTCTTTCCTTTGGCGCAAAAATGAAGGTTCTACGACATGTCCTTCAGCCACAATAAGCTCTGCAAGAGGGGTCGGTTTTTGCTGGGAAATGGCTAAAAACGCGCTTTTCCCCGTAAAAATGTTTTGCCCATAACTTTTTGTGAGTCAGCTAGAGACCTGTGGTTTTCACCGTTGGAATCAGCATCCAAACCAATACCAGGAAATGTATATTTCGCCACTTGCGTAACTGGTCGATGTAATGGTGGTAGGTTTCATACGGAACTACTCATATACAAATTCCAATATATGATCCTAATTCAACAATTGAAAATATAGTACAACTTGCATGTCAAGATTTTATCATAGAAAATGATAATTATCATACTTTGCTTCAGTTAATACAACGGAAATCATTAAAAATTATTTTAAAATGTAATTTATAAGTTAAATAATAAAGAAATTTATACTGTTTATATGAATAGAGATTCAATATCAAAACAATTTTCCGGAAAAGTGAAGAGAAGCTGAACGAAAATGGGAAGAAATCAAGGGAGCAAAATGTCGCTTATATTTTGTTTATAACAGTTTATTCAATAGCGGTCTGAATACATCCTCCACCCACCGTCCTTCCAGTATTTTCGCGTCGGTTTAAGTCTTCTTCCCTGTGTCGTTCCTTTTGTCCCTCAACCACATCCCTTCATACTTGTCTCCATTCTTGTCTTTCATTACTCCATAACCTGATCTCTCTCCCTCCACATAATTTCCTTCGTACACATCTCCATTCGCGTATTCATGTCGACCCTGACCATGCATCTCGCCGTTCGCGAAAGAACTAACATACTTGTCACCTGGCCACTTCGTGCCACTTCCCCATATCAATGTCCCCGTTCCCTCTCTCTGTCCATCTTTCCACTGTCCTTCATATCTCGTTCCGTCTTTCCTCAAGTGGACACCATAACCATGATGTTCTCCGTTGTCGAAATTTCCCTCGTACACATCTCCATTCGCGTATTCATGTCGACCCTGACCATGCATCTCGCCGTTCGCGAAAGAACCAACATATTTCTGACCCGACCTCTTCGTGCCACTTCCCCATATAAGCGTTCCTTGCCCCTCTCTCTGTCCGTCTTTCCACTGCCCTTCATATTTCGTTCCGTCCTTTCTCAAGTAGATACCATATCCATGATACAGTTTCTTTCCGTTCAATTCACCCTCGTAGACGCTCCACTTTCGTGAATGGTCTTCTCTTTCTCCTTCTTCTTGTTTTGGCTTCGCGATGCAGAGGAAGTGGCGAAATTTTCTTCGTTTTTCTCAGATGTTGCTTGGATTACTGTCTGTGCACGTCCAGTTTCCTCCCCTAAAACAGACGCGTGAATTCTTAAGAGAAAGTAGACAGAAAAAAGTAGTTGTAGAAGAATGAAAGTATTACTTTTCTGAACTAATCTTACTTTGAAGCGTATCCTATGTTTAGTCGAAGATTACACGTTTTCCCATCAGAAAAGCATTTTTTAGCGCAAAGTTGGAAAAAGTAAAGGATCATCTGTCATTTACTGGATGGGGCGAGGTCTTTGATTGTTATATAATTCTTTCTTTTGATATGGTGTAGACGTATTACTAGTATCGAGTACTTACGAGTATGCGGGCGAGTATATACCCGCAAATACGAGTAACTACTGTCCACCCAAAAAGTCGGTGCGTGTGACTATTTTTTGAATAACTCGGCATCAAATAAAGATAGAGACTTGCAATTTTCACCATTCGATAGCTAAGACTTGAGGCTATCTTCCCATGAGCAAAAATGAAACTGTGAAGCTGAAATGTTCTCTTCACAAAAAATTCATGAGTGTTCTCTCCCTTGTTGCACGTAAAACAACAGAGAAATAATTCAAGAAGCAACCGAAACTGTCGTCCTTTCTGTCTCTTGCATACGACGCATCCCAGGTCGAGACATACGTCAAGTGTGTACTGCCGTATACTGTTGTATACGTTAGCGTATACGGCAGTATATTGACGTATATCTGACGTATACTGCCGCATGTTACCGTATATTTGACGTTTACATGTTTCCGTTTTACGGCCGTATACGTCAACTCCAGTCAGACGTTTACGGCAGTATGTTTGACGTACATTTTTACGGCAGTATACGTTAGATCCAGCTTGACGTATACGGCAGTGCCAGCCAGTAGTTTACGGCCGTATGCCCGTCGAGTATATACCCGCAAATACGAGTAACTACTGTCCATCCAAAAAGTCGGTGCGTGTGACTATTTTTTGAATAACTCGGCATCAAATAAAGATAGAGACTTGCAATTTTCACCATTCGATAGCTAAGACTTGAGGCTATCTTCCCATGAGCAAAAATGAATTTCGAAAAAATTTTCAAAGCCTGTTTTTCAGAGGATCTTCTGAAAACCAGTTAATAGCGCAAACGTTTTACATGGAAATTTATTGTTTTTTCTCATAGATAGATACTCCAAAGTGTCCTGTGCAAGATGGGATCTAAGCAAAAGTTTTATTTTGCTGCATTTGGCAGTTACAGGTATTTTTCCCGAAGCCCTGAGACTTCTCTATTC